AATGGGGAGGCTTCAGGTGTCTAACCAATGTTGCCTTCGCAGCAGTGGTTGTGTTACCAAATAATCATCATCATCATCATTATCAACATAGGACCAGGCATTACTGCGTAACGGTCCGAGTTGCCACACCTCATATCAGCACATCAAGTAAAAAGGTAGTGAGGTGAAGGATGAAGATAAGTGAATGCAGTCAAAAGAAATATAAAGTATGAGAAGAAAGGAAAGAGGAGTGACAAAATAGTGAGATTCGGTATAGCGTTGTTAAGATGAGGATAATGTGTGTATACATCTGCGCCACTGACTTCGGTTCTGAGCCATATCACCTAGGGTCTCCAACCACTGGTTCCTCTTGTCCCGTGGACCCCAACCACCTAGTCTGCATCGTCCTACATGGCTTAAACCAACAGTCAGAGACTTCATACATTGGTGCCATGTTTTAGTCTGGCCACCTCGGGCCTTTTTCCAGCCTGAACCCACCTCAGCCAACATTGTGTGACGAGGCAATCGGTGACTAGGCATACGTAGTACGTGTCCCAACCATCTCAGTCGATGAAGGTTCACAACCTCGTCGACTGACTTACCTCTTCTCCCTAAAACTCTACACCTAACTTCTGCATTACTCACATGGTGACACCACGGAATACGTCCTATACTACGAAGGCAACGGTGGTCAAATACCTGAAACCTTCTCATGTCTTCCACTTTCAATGGCCATGTTTCACAGCCATACAGTAGAACAGAGCGGACTGCTGTGCAGTACACGCGACCCTTAATAGACAAACGAATATCACGGCGGCGCCATAGGTGGCGCAAATTGGCAAAAGCCAATCGAGCCTTTTGTATCCGTGCAGAAATCTCATCGGCAACTAACCCACCGGGTTGATCCTACTTCCCAGGTAAGTGAAGTGGTCAACACACTCAACCACTTCACTCTCTATTGTTAACCGCGGTACCGCTGAAGACCAGTCCTGGAGCAAAAATTTGCATTTGGGTGGTGAAAATCGCATCCCAAACATTCTCAAATTCCCACTCAAAGTGTTCAGAAGACTCTGCATCTTGTCAGCGTCTTCACCTAACAGGACTATGTCATCTGCATATTCTAGATCTAAGGAAAATTCACCTGTGATCCGGTCAACGTCTTTGTAATTAGGTGACGAGAGGGAAACCTCCATAAGAATATCTATGATAAAATTAAATAAGAATGGGGATAGTGGGCATCCTTGACGGACACCACTTGATGAGTATAGCTCCCTGGACAACTCACCATAGGCTCTAACATGCCCACAAGTGTTCGAGTAGAGAGCTTTCAATAAGGTGATGTACTTACTAGGCACGCCTTTCAGTGACAGACACTGCCATAAGACTTCTCGATCAACGGAGTCAAATGCCGCCTTCAGGTCGAGAAATACAGCTATTGTCGGGCGTCTGTAAGCATGCCTATGTTCCAGGACCTGGCGCAGTGTGAATATTTGGTCGATACATCCACGGCCAGGTCTAAAGCCTGCCTGGTTTTCTCGGGCTTGCTGTTCCCGAGCTCCACTCAGGCGTCGGAGAATTATAGAACTTAGGATCTTAGACACTATGTTTGTCAGGCTGATTCCTCTGTGGTTATCACAAGAGGACTTCTCGCCTTTCTTGAAGACTGGGATGATCAGTGACTTAGACCAGTCGGAGGGGATCGTATTTGATTCCCATATACTGGCTAACACTTCCGTTAGCCTGACTAAGAGAACTCTACCACCATTCTTGTATACCTCAGCAGGTAGTCCGTCTGGTCCTGCTGCCCTTCCCCGTTTCAGGCTACCTACCGCTTTCTCAACTTCTTCTAGTGTTGGGGGACCTGTCTCTATGTCCCATTCAGGGTCCGACTGGATAGCGGGCAGCGCAATGGTGGCTGGAGGCCAGTTAAACTGTTCCTCAAAGTGTTCTGCCCATCGTCCCAGTCGCCTTCCCTGCGAGTGAATCGCCGATCCGTCCTTCTCCGCTATAACCTCACTAACTGTTGTTGACCATTTCCCCCCAGTCTCCTTAATAAGTCTAAATAACTGTCTACTGTTACCGATCGCCGCTGCCTTTTCCATCTCTTTAGCCTTTGCTGCCCACCACTGTTCACGATCGTTGCGCAGACTTTTCGTCAGTTTATTTTTAAGTTGCGCTCGCTCTTCATTGTACTCAGAGCCTGCAGGGATGCATTCACGTGCATCCATTAGTTTGGAAGAAGCTGCTGATATCCACTGGCTCTTTTTAGCCATTATCTTGGAGTCGGCTACAGTCTCCAGTGCTGCTTTTACAGTAGACTGAAGATGGCACCAAGCTTCTTCTGGATGAGTGACAGTCTTTTGTTCCGATAACTGCCTAGCCAACTTCTCACTGAACACGGCTTTGGTGTTTTCGTTGTCCAGCAGAACTCGTAGTGGTTTTGTTGCCAAATTTTTTCTACGTCCATTGAGACGCAGGCATATACGTGCTCGGACCAACGCATGATCGCTGTCCAAACACGTACTCCAGAAGGAGCGGCAGTCTTCCACCGATCCTCTCCAGCGATGACTAATAGCAATGTGGTCTATCTGTGTCCATCGCTGAGTCGAGCTCGGTGGACGCCAGGTCAGACAGTGCCTTTCTTTATGTCTGAAATTTGTGCTGGCTAAAAATAGGCGGTTATCTGAGCATAGTTGTAATAGGCGATCACCGTTATCTGTACGTTCAGCTGGGATTCCGAAAGTGCCACCTAAGTGCCTTTCTGCCTCACTCAGTCTACCCACCTGTGCGTTGAGGTCACCTGCAACAACCACTACGTCCGAACGTTTGGCTTTCGAGAGGAGGTTAGACAGTTTATGGTAGAACTCGTCCTTCACTTCATCCGAACTACAGTCAGTGGGTGCGTAAGCAGAGATTACAAAGAGACAACGGCGAGTCTCACTATTCCTTTTAGTTCTCACTGTGCCGTTCAGCCTCATAGCGCAGAGGCGACTATCAACTGGGATCCAGTCTAGTAGTGAGTTTTCTGCCCTGGTGCTTAATGCTATACCTACACCTGCAAGACCACGAGAGCTAGCTATCGAATCTCCAGAAACTCGAAGGGTGAATTTTGCAGATTCACCAGATTGGTCAGGTGAATAACCACACTTGGGTCCTGTATGCGTGTCTCACAAACACAGCACACATCCATGCCCGAGTTGCTAGAGTCTTTGCCAACGAAGCCTGTTGGCCAATTTGACGGAGGGTGCGGACATTGAAGGCTCCAATATGTAATTTGGAGCGTGGTTTAAGGAGACCAGGGATGCTGTTCTGTGGACTCAGATCGTTGTCGAAGGCTGCAGAGGTAGGAGAAATTGAAGATGATGCAGCATCATTAATTAAGAGACGTGAAGGAAGATTAGAAGGTAATGATGGAGGAGGAGGATAGCAGTCAGAAGAAACTTGGGTGCTGACAGAGTTGTGAGGGCGGTTGACACTTCCCGGCTGCCCACACCGTGGAAGGCTATTTCTTCTTAAGGTACCTGAAAGAGATTTGTGTGACCGCAGAGCCCATCGGACATCTGCTTGAGGCCTGTCACACCCAGCCTTTTGAGTATGATTATTTTGAATTTTTGTATTTTTGGGGCCGGATAGTCGAAAGGAAACGACAAGTGAACCAACACCGCCGGCCCGGCAGACCGTGGGGCGTGGTGGAGTGTGTTATTTTTGGGGCCGACCTTTTCTAACCCCCCCTTCCACTGAGAAGGCAGCATCAGCTTGGCACTGCTGGTCATCCAAGGGAAACACCTTACTGCTGTCACACCCCATCCAGCTAGCAGCAGTACGACTTCGCCCTCAGACCCCCATCATAGTATAGCAATTTACACTATGACGGTAACTGCTTTTCGTCTAACCACTACCCAACAGACCTTTCTGGTATGGTAGGACCTCGAGGGAACAAGCGTTCCACCAGCATAGCTCGTTGGGTCATTGTGATATGCAAGCCCGACCACCACGTCAAGGTAGCAGCTATCGGTCGGTTACCAAATAACCACGTCAGTGAGGCAAAACCCGGGTAATTTTAGGCAGAAGGGGGCGTTAGTTAAAAAATTTTCGACTCTGGTGGTAAAGATATTTTTTACATGTACTTGTCCAGTATAATTCATTGTACGGTGGTAGCGGTAGCTGAAGTAAGTTTCAGTCGGAAAAAGGTAAGTGGCAGCCAGATTAAAACACGCTATCACTTCATGAAACCTCTGACAGTTCATATAACCTGCATAGAAGAATGTAGACCTCCTGAATGCGGTCAGCGTAACAACGGGAATCAGTGGTCAGAGATTCTGAGACATAGTTCGCAATCAATCTCAGCGTCATAAATGTATCGACACATCATCTGTATTTTAACTGTGACAATGAGTTTCGTTACTACTTTTTACCGTTATCTCCCTCTTTTGATGGCTTCATACCACTTTTGTTTACTTCTTCTCTTGTTTCTTTGCTCTTCATTTTGGTGTCTGCTTCCTTGGTGTACTGATATGAGGTATGGCAGTATAGTCTGTTACACAGCAATGCCAACTCTCCTGTTGATATTAACTGATTGATATGGGTCAGTATATCAGTCAATAGTGCTCCAATCGATGTTAATTCGTGGTGAAAATAAACTTTAAAGCAACTAATTCGTCAAACCACTGAACTAAGTGTGTAACATTAGATACAGATTGTATTTGAGTAAGTCATAGTGCTAACTTACACAAATACAGTCTACATTTAATGTCAACCTTTTATTCAGGGCCAATATTTGCCATATTATACGATGAAATCTTCATCACAGTTTATATAAGTGTATAACAGTTTTACTACATCAAAGTGTTTGTAATATTCTAGCTACGATACAGTAAAGTAACGCATAACTTGTGACAATTAATACCCATGAAAGTTTCAACACTTGCTCAATCAATTTTATCGAAAACAGTTATAAATGCAATGAATATTTCTTTTAAATCACGATGATATTAATTGTTTTGTGCAATTAAAAAGATTACCGATTGTTCGCTCAACAGTATCTGGTTGTGCTCGATGCGATAAAATTCTACCAGATATTATACCAGAGAGTGTTGACAGTCCTCTTTTATATACACCATCGATACGAGAAAATATTCCATTCCCAACACCTTGATTTACAGTGGTTAGTGATGAATGCCGACCCATGAGATGAGCTGTGTAACCTCGCCAAATTGAGACAACTTGAGGATAAGTGAATACAAATTGTGCCCAATCTCGATTAATTTGATCTGCTTGATAGACGTCTTTACCTGATGTGGACTCCAATGCTCCATGAACTTCAAGCTCAGCCACCAAGTCATTCAGTTTAATGATAAGTAATTTCAGAGTTAAATTACCAGGGTTGGCTGTAAGTGCTCGATCAGCTATTGAAAGCTGTTTACGAAGTATAACTAACCAATCACTCTTTGAAAGCTTGAAATCATTACATATCTGTTTCTGGTCAACATTATTCCCTGTTATATGAAGGAAGGAAGCTCCTTTGTCCTGCATATCGATTAGATTTAACCATGAAACTAAATCATTCGGTCGATCATAAACACGACGATTAAGTTCTTCACAGAGACTCAATATTACATTGTTTTTCAATTCAACTGTTGGCTTACATGCAACAGTAATTCCATCTGGTAAAGGAATTAAATCGGATAGCATATCATGACTTGCTTCGTACGATTCAATAGAAACAGTAGGAGCTTGAATTACTGCTCTACTTGATTTACTAAAGTATCGGAATTTCTTGGTAACTCCAGATTTACGCTTTCTTTCAGTGCCCAAAAGATCACACAGGTACAAATCTTTAAATCCCAACATGTTTGTTTTGTTCTTCATTTTAAATTGTGGTATATGCTTATCATAAATACATTCATGTCTATAAATCTCTTTATTACATGACTTATCAATTCTCTAGGCAAAATTGATATCTAGGCAGGGAATATCTTCTAGAAATACAGCATTTGGTGTAATTTTCGGCTTCTTTTTCATGAGATCATATCTTTTATGAGAATGTAACCGTTTATTGATAGTTTTTTCAAGTTCTTTTCCATTATTATTTACTCTATCTATAACTGAAATAAACTTTAGGTGTGTATACCTTTAACATCTTACCATGAATATGATAACTCGATGGTTTCTGTTCACAATAGGTTGAACTTCTTAGCCAAGTTTCATCTAAATTTTATACATAAGCCATATTCAAAAAACTTACTATCAGATAAATCATTTCCTATATGTGATCTATCTTTAGAATCTGATGCACATGGAAACATTTTCACACAGATACGAATGAACTATAAGTTTCAAATTCCACAGCTGCAGATCCTAACATACTGAAGTAGACATGACATATCAGAAAGGAAACAATAATAATAATAACAAGTAAAACATTTACTTAAAACTGGTACGAATAACCACTGAGCTAAATATGTATAACAAACTAGCTTAGATTAACAAGACAAAAGGGAATCCAACACTTATCATCAGAAAACTTTCACTCATATTGCATACTAACTTTTAAGGTATTCGAAATTTAGCTCCTCCTTTCAAGTAATGATACTGCATGCTTTCTCTCATAGGCATAAACGTGCAAACCACAAGGGTTTATGCTTAAAATATTAGTTTGATGGGACGGCTAAGGAGTTAACAAAACAAGATGACGAGCCTGAAACCTGCTTGATCTCCTTAAACTTCCTGTTCATGAACAACAATCATAGGCTTTAAACATTCTGCAATATGTAAGACTTTTGGCTAATGAAACATATCAATTTTAAACATTAGAAGGTATAGCAACCAGGGAAAAAGAAACTTCGCATCGTTACTTTCCTATTCGTTTACAACACAAACTTGATTGTAAATACGCAATAAGAGATAAGCCATACTAACATAATACGCAACATCAAGAAGACAGAAGAAACGGATAAGAGAATGAAAGAAAACAGAAGTAGGATACCGAAGAAGTACTCATAAACTATTATTATTTATTATTATTAGTCCCTTGGGTTCCTCATGGAACATAGAGCTTCACTAGCACGTCTCTATTCCACTCTGTTCTCTGAAATCTGTTGAACCTGGCTCCACGACAGCCCACAAACTCTCATTTCCTCCTCGCACCATCTCCTCCATGTCACCCTCACCACGGACGCCCAACTCGTCGCTTCCCATCGGGGTTCCACTCGAGGACCTGACTGGCCTGACGCATGGTGTCCCCAGTAGGCTTTCTCAGTGTATCCCCAGCCCAATCCATCTCCACTTCCTTCCAATGCATATTTGTTCAGCGATAGCTTCTTGCTTGGTTCGTTCCCAGAGCTCCTTCTTGCTTATTCTAACTATTCTGGCAATCCATCTGATCTTCAGTAACAAGCCAGCGTAGCTGGCAGTTGTTGATGAATGTCTGTAGTTTATTGGAAATCCCCCTCGTAACTCGCCAAGTCTCTCAACCATCACACAGAAGCACTGACTTCACTGACGTCGGTGTTGAAAATCCGCATCTTGTTCCACATGCTAAGGCAGCGCAGAAGATCTCCACACTGCTTTCAGGCTAATCAACGCCTGTCTTGCTGTCTTCCCGATCCTGGCTGACTTTGACATCCTCGTCTGTGCCTGTGCCTATGCTGCCTGTTGTTGAAACAGTGCTACTCTGCCTTGATAGGTGAAGGAGGTTACTTCCTTTAAGTTTCTCCCGTTCATGCTGATTCCAGTTTGTTGTTGGTGGTGGTGCGGTATCCTCATCACCTCTACCTCTGTCTTCTCTATATTCACCTGAAGTCCCGTCTTCCTTCGCTGCCCTGCCTCGCCTCGCCTCTTCTGTCAACTTCTTAGTTTTCGCCTGTACATCTTCAAGTTTGTGTGACATCACACACAAGTCATCGTTGGCGAAATCCAGATCTTCTAGGTTCTTTTCCGCACTCCAGCCAGAGTATCCCCCTCTTCTCACAGCTCCCCACTGTTTCCTGCATGATCCAGTCTTGTTGACCACAATCAGGAATATTATGGGGATAGTAGGCAACCTTGTTTCACTCCTTCTTGTCTTCACTTCACTTCAAAAGCATCACTGAGCTTCCCATTGTGAATTACTTGGCTGGCACGTGGCATGCGTCTTCATATACTTGTTGAATGAGGCTGATAAGGGTTTGTGGTATTCCGTAGTATAGTATTGAAGCAGTTTCCAAATTACCTCTCGGTCGACGTTGTCAAAGGCCTTCTCAAAGTCGATGAAGTTCATGTAGGGTTGAGCTGACTGCCATTCTATACTCTGTTCTATGATGATGTGAAGCATTGCTATTTGGTCCCCACATGATTTGTACTTCCTCAAGCAAGCAAGCCAACGTGTTCCGGTCGTAATTGTGAATCCAGTGCATCTGTTAGCCTCTCCAGGATGATGCGGCTTAATATTTTGCTTGCTCTGGGTGGACAGGAGAGTGATTCCACGCCAGTTCTTGCAAACACTGAGGTCTCCTTTCTTCCGCAGTTTGACAAGGTAACCCTTCTTCCAATCACTAGCCAGGTACCTTCTCTTCCTTCCACATCTCCTGCAATAGTGGTGTAGTGTGAGCATGTCCGCTGTTGTCTCTGCCTCTGTTCTCAGTGCTTCTGGTGGGATCCCATCTCGTCCTGCTGCTTTCCCACATTTCAGTAGCTTTATGGTGTTCATAACTTCCATTTTTGTTGCAGGATTTATGTTCACTTGTAGTTCTGTGGCTGGACTGCTGGTAGTATTTCTGGACGAAGTGCAGGTGGTGGTCGATTCAAGAGCTTCTTGAAGTGGTCGGCCCATTGTTTCCTTTGTTTCTCTTCTTTCCTAATTCAATTTCCGTCATCATCTTTTATTGGTTTCGTCTGCGTTGATCTCTTCCCTCCCAGACAGCAACCTGGTTATTTGATACAGTGTCGTCAGGTCTCTCTCACCAGGCTGCAGCCTGTTCTGCTTCACTTGCCAGTGTTTCGTAGAAGTGTCTTTTGTCTTTCCGTACACTCTTCTTCACTTCTTTGTCCAGTGCAGTGTTTTATACATTTTACTCAGTTCCTTTTCTCGCCGTTCATCATTGCACTGGTTTATCTTCTGCTTCACCATCCTCCTCTCCCCTCTATCAGCTTCCATGTGTTCGTCGAGATCCATTCCATTCCTTATCTTCTTTCTTCTTCCTTCCTAATACGGTTGTGCAGGTTTCTTTCCACATAGCTTTCAAAGACTTCCAGTGTTCTTCCATACAGGTTTATTCAGGGATGTTCCTCGATATCTCCCATTTTGTCTTGATGCCTGGCTGAAGTGAAGATCTCCTTTGTAGTTTCATCCTTTAGTTTCCGAGTGTTGTACTTGCACTGCGGTCTATCACCACCTTCCTTGAAGGCTTTTAATTCGATTTTCAAGGTTCCTTGCACTAGATAGTGGTCTGAACCTGAAAATCTAATTACCAAAGAAGAGAAACAAAGGAAACAATGGGCCCTATGTTCCACTAGGAACCCAAGGGACAAATAAATAATAAATAATCTCGAATGCCAACCATCGTCGTTATCTTCAAAGTTAACGAAACATAATACCTAAACAACCAAAAACTCTCAGAACTACTGCTTGTATATTCATGCACTAAGCAGTAAAATACACTTATTTTGAGAGCTGATGATGCTATCTGCTCGACAAAATTTCAGCACGTGAAGCGACGTTTGAACCTGTGATCTACAAGTTGAAAGACAACTGTCTAGACTAATGAACCATAGTTCCAACGCAATACTTCCAGTTGCTTGGATCCTTCTCCCGCCATGGTCACTCGGCCGCTTCTCTACTGACCAGTGTGTCTTGACACAGACTTACCATAGGTGATATAAAAACAATCCATTTACAAAGTGAAATCAAGGAATCTTCAGATATTTATGCTGGATTACCTCTTATTGGTGTATCATGAAACGAAGTTACAGAGATCATGCAACTTCGCGATATTGAACGTTGTCGAACATGACTTAGAAACAGAATCAGGGACGTTAATGCTGGAAAATCTTGTTATTCTTTATGTTTGAACATTAAGAAGAAATGTGATTGAAACTTCTTGAATACACGTCGTTCATATGCTTCTCTTTTTCTGAATACTGTTATTTCCTATTTTCTTCCCCTTTAATATATTTATAATGTAATTCTGTGATGAGAGTTTGTTGCAAATTGCATTGTATCTAGTTTATGAAAAATAAATGACTGAATATATGTGGAAGGTCAATCCAGTAACGTCACAGTTCTCAGTAAAGGGAGTGAAGTAACAAAAACAAACATCACAGAGTAGAAAGCCTGTTAGCTGTTTAGCACTTCATTACAGATACAGCACATCAATCTAGAAACTGGCATACTGTAGTAAGGGAGATTAGTAAAATTTGCCCTGTCAGAGAGATTAGGCAGGCAAAAATGGTAGGAGTAATAATATCGACAACAAAAGTGAAAATGTAATAAATCAGAAAATAAATGAAGCTGGAAAACAAAACGATGGCAGAGTATCAATTGCTAACAGTCAAAAAGGAAACATTACATCTGTGTTACTGTGATCAGTATTGAGCTAATTCCCTTAGTTGATGTACCCGGCCATCGAAATTGCGATTAGGAAATTAATTACACCAGTATTATATATAGCAGTGACAGCATGTACATGAAAAAGAAAGACAGTAAGATGAAAGTAATAGAAGCATCAGAAATAGGATATGGAAGAGACAGTAAATAAGAGTGTATGAATTGGAAACAAACTTAAAATTCGATTCACATTGTTATGAGCTGACAGAGGCTTCAGATTTGAACCACTTCCAAGTATTTGAAGTTCGGAAAACTGACTAATACCGCTAATAGTTTTGAAAATATGTCAATTGATATCGATTGGTGATTGAAGGAAAAATAGAGTCGAAGTACGATTCAAGTCAGCGACCTCCAGCTTACCAGTCCAACACCCTACCAGCTGGTCTACGAGATCTAGCATTTAACTAGGGAGGCGGTTGCCAAACGCTGGGTGACGAGTTCCAGCTTCGCTCTACTCACCAAGGTTCGAGCAGCCGGGTAATATCACTAGCCCGACAAAATAGGTCTAGCTTATTGTCTACTGTACGGATGTGCACAAGATGGCTGATTGCGTTTCGCTCGCTTCTATACACTTTTTAACTTCAAGTATCAAGGGTTTCTGTGATTTTATCATGTGTAACTATCCGTTTATGGTTGTAAAATCCTTAGTGAAATCTGCTACATACCAACGTGATTAAACCAACTATGGAGATGAATACAATGCGAGCTGTTATGCAGACATTT